AGTTAAAAAAGTTTCAAAAATCCAATAGATTTCGTTCCACTTCACAATTGTGTCCCACTTGTTGGTGATTCTTCACATAAAATAAAAAATTTATATCTTTGAAGCCTGAAATGTGGCAAAAGGTTGAAAAGTTCAAGGGGGCCGAATACTTTCGCAAGGCACTGTAGTTGTTCTTTGGGTGCTCTGACAGGTCACAAAATGAAATAACTGTTTGCCATTTGGCACAGAGGATTCCAGATATGACCTGACTAAAAGCCTGTTCTTGTAACCTTGAAGTAAAACAACAGAATAATCATATTCTACAGAATTAGATAGTTAATTAACATCAGTGGTTCTCAGTCCTGGTCCTGGAGTATCCCCTTGTCTGCTGGTTTGTTTTCCAACAGTACTCTTCATAATTAATGTTAATTGAGGCAATGCAAATCCTTCCTATGCAAAATATTGTTAAAACTCCTATCACATATTTGGCATTGGGATGACAATAAAGATAATATTCCAGTAAGGCAAAAGTGGTTATAATCACAAAACATTTCAAAAATATTAAAACTAATTAAACAAAGGAACACTGTATAGACCTCTTAGCAGATGGCCGTTGACATGAAGTTTCACCCTTATACTATTGAAACAGACATATTTATATGAGCTACTGTCTTTTTGATGTCTAATATCTCCTTGGCAATTCCATTCCTTCATGTTTTTTTTTCCAATTTCAATAGTTATAATACCTATTAAGTAAGCAGGGCTTAAAATGTCCCCATGTGCAAATTGAGAGCTAAGTCCAGAGAACAGTAATGGCCTGTGTTCATTTATATAAAGATATTTATTTGTATTCTGTCTCTGCTAACACAAATAGCACTTAAAACCAAAACCCTGAGTTGGACTGGTAAGGACACTCAACCCTGCACTGTGGAACAGAGGTCTATAACCAAGAGGCTATCAAACCCCATCAGGAACATATTTTTTTTCAAAATTATAATTTTCAGATATTCTTCCTCTCATGCCTTCCCAGGATGGAACTGCTTACTGCTAACGAATTCAGCTCACCACTCCAAATCATAAATCAGAACAGGAGAGGTGAAGACCTACAAGTGTCCTTTGAAATGTTCTGTCTGGTCACCTGCTTTTCTAAATACATAACTATCATATTACTGTTAGCACACAGACATGCTGTGCAGTCACTGGAGTTGCTGTTGTACAGGGAGGTGAGGACAACCTGGACGACTGCTCCACCTAAATCAAGCAAATAAGTTTGAAACCAGTTAAGATGGTCAACCTGCACAGGGCGTGGAGCTTTAGGGGTTGAGCTTCTTGGGAGCCATATTGGAGGCTCTTGATTTTAAAAAATTAAATGAAGAAGCCAACCATATTCTGCCAAGAAGCTTCCGCCTACTTGTTTATGTGTGAATGTCAAACACTCAATGCTGTGTCTTTATCTTTATATTCAGATGGACACTGTAGATGGTGGTGATTCCAGATATTAAAGAAAGTCCTGGCAGCTAAATGAGAAGTCATCAACTAATGTATCAAATTATATTGAAGAGTTGCAAAGAGAATCAGTCTGCATTCACACTTTCCTAACTCCTAATGAGAAGAGAAAACAAATGATGAAAAAGAGTTTTTACTGTCATTTTCACTAAGACACTGAACCAGAATTCCTTTGTGACACTTCAGCTGACTCCAAGTTTCAGCAGTCTGCTTATGAATGTGGGTCTCAGAGGAACGCTCAAGCCTGCATCTTGTTATCTCAGGGTGTACTGCTGTCTGACTGACACTGCCATTCGCTGCTGAGAGACACTGTGTGTTTGTTATATTTATCTAAAACTTTCACAGCTGTACATTTGACAATAACTGTTATAATCTCTCCCCCTTTTTTACCAAATGTTCATTTAAAAAACATAAAACCAGTTTCAGATGCTCTCCCACTAAGCATAACTGCACTGTGGGCACCAGACACGTAGCAAGAACCCAATCTAAAGGCAGACGCTCAACAAAAAGGTACAGTGTTTGATCATGGTTTAACAAACTAAGCCAGTGATCAAGAGACATGTCAGGTCAGGAGGACTTCCATTTAGTGACTGAAAGTTGTACTCTTCTTTTTCAAGGTCTGATTTTCTAATTGCTAAAAAAACAAAGGGGAATGAAACCCTCACTATTTTATGAAATATTTCATTTATATCCTAAAAAAGATACTTAAAAATAGCCACACTGTCAAACTGGTTTTTAAGATCTAGTTCATGTTTCCTAGTTTCACTATTTATTTTCTGTCCATGGTTAATTTATTTTTTTGTTTTTTAAGTTAAAATGTAGGTACAAAGTAGAAAGGTAAGATCCTAACAAAATATAATTTAACATGTTATATAATAACATTATATCATAAACAGTACTAAAACTCAAAAAAGGAACCACAGACAAGAAACCTTCAAATACATTGGCCCACTAGATTCTATGTGCCAGAATTCAAAAGCAAGTACATTAGAGATCTAGTCCTACCTGGCAATGACCGATGTAGGCAAGGGTCTTTCCACTTTTGTAAAGCTCACAGAGATTAGGATGCTCCATATTGTCTATGTCACACACTGGATCCACCAAAGAGTGGTCACACGGCCCAGAAAATGTCAGACATTCATACTGAGTGCAGGGGTAATCATCAATGCTTGTCAGGCACACTTTCCGTTTTGGTATACATCTGAAACAAGAGAAAAAATTATCATTAGTACTACGGTCATTCAAGATACGATATGGAAACATATATATAGTTTCAGTGCTATTTTTTTTTTAATGACAAGTAAGTGTGTTACCTCCCTAGAAATGTTCATAGGAGAACATAAGAAAGGTTGAAAGAGCAAGGAGGATACATATCCTCTCCCTTTTAGCTCAATTGGTGGAGTGCCTAATTAATTGCTAATAGTCAAGGATCTTATCAAGCTTGTCGTTGAAAGTCAGGATATTAGCTTTGACACCATGGATGAGTAGTGGTTGGTAGCCTATTCCAGACTGTCACAGCCATCTGTGTAAAGTAGTGCTTCCTTCATGATCTTCTGGCGTTGGTTTTAAATTAACCTTTCAGTAGTTTCTATTTTTGTCTCTTTGCTTTGTGATTCAATGTTGATTTTCTTGACTGGAAACATTTCCCAGTCAATGGGTGTCACCTCTGTTTTGATTGACTGACAGATTAGTTTTGCTAGTCCATGAATAACAATGCTTGTTTCCCTAAGTACAATTGGAAAAATACTACCTGGCCCTGGAGATCTGTGCATCTTAAGTGTTTCTAATACCAGTAATATTTCTGCATCTTATATACTTCAATTTTATATTATGTAATATAGAGCTTTATCATAGCACAACGTCTGAGAACAGTATTGCAGTATGGGTAGCGCAGTGTAATACTTAACTTTGTGCAGATAAGTATTTATCTTACACTATCGAGTTTTTTGTTTAACCAGATTCAAGCACTTTAAAACAAGAAGCTTTCAAATCTGTCCGCACATGAAAAAAAAGTTTGAAACAATTCTTGCATAATTTATCTAATGCTTAAAAAGCTTTAAACACTAACTAGACACAATAACAAATAACATGTTTTAGCCCAACAGACATCATCAGTGTATTTTGACCTCATGCTGTAGCACTGTTTTTTTCCCCAAAACAAACTGCAGATGGTGCCCATGTAAATCACCTTAACTGAAATGTCAAACAAACTATGCACTTAGCCAGAAAGCACAAAACCTGTCGTCGTGACAGGGAAGCATTCACTAGGAGAAAATACTGGAAAATGTATTTTTGTATAATAGAAGGTTCTATGCTGGAGTGCTTGCAACCCACTAAAGCTAAGCAGGTGTGAGCCTGGTTAGTACCTGGATGGGAGACCTCCTGGGAAAAACTAAGGTTGCTGCTGGAAGAGGTGTTAGTGGGGCCAGCGGGGGGCACTCACCCTGCAGTCCATGTAGGTCCTAATGCCCCAGTATAGTGACGGGGACATTGTACTTTAAACAAGCGAAACTTTAAACTTGGAAATTCAGCAAGAAAAGAGCTATCAAACCCCTTTAACGCAAATACAATTATTTCATAAACTAAATCATAACAGGCTTCACTTTAGGCAGAGCTCCTTTCAATCCTTTCTTTGAAAAGCAACCAAATGCCATAGCTAAGCTTTATTTAGGTGTTTTGACAACACAAAACAAACGTCATTTCCATTGGAATACTGGGAAAAAATATTCAAAATCAGTTAAACAGACATAATTGTTGCATTCAATTAAGAATGTCAGTGCTAGTGTTTTTATTACTTGAACAGGAAAAATAGGCCGAGGTCAAAATTGTAATGCAAAAAATTCTTAAATATTTCTCAAGTGCCCTTCAATTCAAGGGTGTTTTCAAAGTGCTTTACAGATTTTTTTAAAAAGGACAACAAGTAGTATGATTCCATGCCTTTAAATAAGACTTTTTATTTGAACCCCCACTGAAGTACAGTTCCTTTATGGGTAATGTGCAGTATCACAGCCATTATGTGTTAGTTATACTGGTACTAATATACTGCTAGAAACTAGTATTGAAAAATTGCTTCAGCAGTTGAATTAAGGGAACTTTAGGTATGCAAGATTGCACAGTGGAATTTAGGAAACCAGAATTAACAGTCCTATTCTTTAACAAATGTATAATTACATTTTTAATAGCCATGTAGTCAGGAATTTACTGATTAAGCCTCCTCAATTTGATTTCATTTGCCCTAAGGCATAGTGGCCCTTGTTAATATAATGAGTAATTGGTTTGGAAATTATGGTCAGAATGAAGGGTGCTATCTAATGGTCACCAACACCACTTACAGCAATTTTCCTTGGAGATCTCACATGCCAGTACTGAGCAGCCTCAGCCTTACTTAGCTTCTAGGACCTGAGGAGATCAGGCCACGAGTTGGTAAAGCTACTGTACTGCCAGCAACAATAAAGGCTATAAAATTACACAACATTTATATTAAAAAACAATGAAAATGCATACAAAATAGCACACTGAAGCAGTAATTTAACAGGAAACTGGAGCACCTGTTAGGTTTCCCCATAGATATGGGGAAAACATGAAGACAACCATGATTTCTCCACAGAGAAAGCGCAATAGCCCAGAATCAAAACAACTGTCAAATGCCAAATCATCATGCTGTCCAGTAATAATGAGAATCTATAACTATGTGAATTTGGTTTTGGTTAACAAGGGGCTCTAGCAGCTGCATCTATAACATGGATTGTGTTGTAAGAGTTAAGAAAAAACATTACAATCATAGTCTGAATGAGTTGAAATTAGCTCATTATTAGAGGCCAGGGGAAAATGGCCTCATTGAAGAAACGTGACCGCAAACACACACAAAACAAATTTCAGACTACATGTTTTATCACAGGTGTTGGCAATATCATTCCTCATAAACTCTCTCAGGTTTCATACGTACTTCAAATTCTTTCAAGTTTAAAGACAGATTTTTTCTCCTGAGTGAAAGTTGAAGAAACCAGACAGTTAATTGGTAAATTAAACAACTCTTTATTTTAAGAACACAACAAATACTTTCCAAACAGCAGAAACATTAAACAAATCTGTCAGCTGCCTGGTCTGTACCACGCACCCGCCCTCACGCAGTATTTTGTGCGCATGCGCATATCATGCGCAAAGCATAAACATATATATCGAACTTTTGTTAAAATTCTATCGAGGAAAATTATATTGCGATAATTATCGTTATCGAATTATCATCCAGCTCTAGTCATTCATACTTAATTAAAACAATGCATTAATATCTGAAAGATTAGTTCTATTAATCCATGAAGTTCAAAGTTGAAATGAAGCTTTGTAGGGTTCCAGGAATTGAAGTCTACCCATTCCTCTACAACGTAGTGTAGGAAGAGCTACCTCTGGTACCTGAGGCAGGCACACAATTATGTAGTCCTGTACTCTTTTACTTCTACTCCCATCCACTGCATTAAAGCAAATGATAATAAAACAATCAGGCAAGTGCTGGTGTGGGTTCTCTTTGGGAGAGCAAGGGGCGTGTTGCTGAGGTTGCACATGGGATTGTGGCTTAGATCAGAGGAGAGAGCCAAGGAATGGGCATATTAAAAAAAAAAGAATACTGTCGCAAAATTGCCTTATTCTGTCGTGTTTTAAGTCAAACCTGCTATTTTAAATAGCTAGATTCTCATCATCCAACTGATTTTGTAGTCAGAAAAAAACTACAATGCTAAAATGCATAAAAACATTTTAATAGTTATTGGTGGCAATAATTCACCTTCATTTAAACATTTCTGCTGAGTCAATGATCTTTAAAATAAGCAAACTACTTCAATTTTTCAGTGTTTTAATTACTTATTAACATACACTAAGCCGACAACCACTCTATATGCTATACTTGATATTATACTGCTAGATAGGGTGGCACGGTGGCACTGTGGTTAGCATAGCTGCCTTGCGAATTGGCCTTTTAGTAAGTGTGTGCATGCATGTGTCTACATCTGCCTTGTGTCCCATCCAGATTGTATCTCGCTTTGCGCCTGCCGCTTGCCAAGATGTGTTGTGGCTCCTTTATGACCCTCAAGTCATGGATGACATGTTTAGAAAATGGATGGGTATTCTATTAAGAGTTGGGTTAGAGAAAGAGAGATTGGTGAATACTGAAAACCCTTGATTTTGTGCAACTTAAATCCACCTGTACATATACTGTTTAAAAAATTACACCTCTTTTTCATACCCATCGTTTATGTCTCAACAATTTTTATATCCATAAGCTGTCATTGGTTCAAAGTATAAACTTATTTCTCAGCATTAGCAAAAAATTATAAAATATTTTAAATGCTTCTATAATGATAAAATAATACATTTTTAATATGCTTAATGGGCGAGTCAAAATATAGACCCTGCCGACGATAATGGTACTGTAAATGTCTCTCTTCAGGTTTCATATTGGGAGTCAAGACTCAGAGGACTATTCCAGCTAAGTTAATCAGTTACCCAGAAGTTACTTATAATATTTTTGTCCTAGTAGAATTTAATTTTAGAAAATGGATACGATAAGATTTTTCTACCAAGGATGAAGCCCTGTGGGACATCATAGGCAATATTTGCTAAACCTGACTCAGTCAAGTCACAGCAGTGTCACAGGAAGCAATGGCCCTCTTTTACAGATCTGTCATTGAGAGTGTTTTGACCTTTTCCACCACTGTGTGGTACAGGAACACTTCTACCCAGGAGAGAGAGAGTAGTGTATATCGTCTCTAAAATTGCAGGATACAAAGCTCTAAAGATCCTTTCTGGACCCCCCCACACTGCCAACCCCTGTTTTTCTTTCCTCCCCTTTTGTGCATGGCTTAGGTCTATGAAGACAAGGACTACTAGGTTTCATTACAACACCTCCCCAGAGGGTGTGAGATGCATGAACTCTGCACTTTAATTTGGATTTTCTGCATGACTCATTGTTATTTTATCTGGTCTCACTGTTATTTATCTGATTACTGGTGTTAGGATGGTATGTGAAGATGTGTTGGGTGGATGCTGTTTATAATAATAATAATAATAATAATAATAATAATAATAATAATAATAATAATAAAAAAAAACTTTATTTTATATAAAATATAAAGGTGCTTATTCTTTGGTCTATGCTGTATACTTGTATGTCTTTCATTGTATGAGTTCACCAAACAAAATTTCATGCATCTTTTGGTTAAGGCAAAAAAGGACCAAAGTGAATTTTGCCAAAGAAACAAAGTAGTGGTGACAAATCCGATCTAAAACACATCTGCAGACTTCCCGAAAGGCTGACTAATTTATTAAAATGTCATAGCCTACTGAAGCCCAATAAACCTAGAACAGACAGCATTTAAATTTGTATCAGTAAGTCATTTATCTAAAACTGTCAAGAACTGAACTAGGTAATTTTAAAGTACTCACGTTACCAGAGAGCTATTTAAAGAAAAAAAATATTTATCTTTTGGAAATATACATTTAAAACAAGAATTTTATTTTGAGTAAAATGGAGTACAATTAACATAATATATATAATAGAGAAGCCACGAAAAAGAGGGGCTTATATTACTTTGTAGTCACGTAAGCAGTATTAGTTCTACTTGGAAAACCTCTCAAGTAGGAAATACAATTACCCCTCACCCCCATCCCTAAATAAAATGAAAGTTTATAACAGCCAATCAAACTTTACCTGCATGTCTCTAAGTGGTAAAAAAAAGCAAAGCACTCAGTGAATACTTATATAAACATGGGGAGAACATGTAAACTCCACACAGACAGACACCCCAAGCTGAAATTGAAGAAAGTACCCCTGAGCTGCAAGGCCTCAGCTGTCAGAACTAACCACTACCATTGAGAGAAGGTCACTGTGACGCATCTTACTCAGTCGGTCCCTAACAATGAATTCTATCCATCCATCTTCTAACTGCTTTATCCAGTATAGGGTCGCAGGGCTGTGACCAGCTAGCAATGGACACACCCTGGATGGGATGCCAGTGTACTGCAGGGCACACACGGACACATAGACAGACATGCAGCACTCACACCAGGGGCAATTTTCCCTGAAGCTAATTAACCTACCACTGTCTTTGGACTGTGGGAGGAAACCTGGAAGAAACTCATATAAACATGGGAAAAATATAAGAACTCCACACACCGCAGGAACTGAACTCAGGACCTTAGCGCTGCATGGCAACAATGCTAACCACTGCACCACTGTGCTAATAGTTAACTAAAATGAGGATTTCATCCAGCCATGTTTTGAAAAAAGCCAGGATATGAACTCTGACGACATGGCTGTGTAGCTTGTTTCCACTTATGACTTCTGGTATCATGGATCACTGCTAATTCCTAAGAAGTCCAATAGGTTGAATTTTTTGTGGTCAGGGCTTTCAAGAATTCTGAATACTTGGATCTGGTCAACTTGTAGCCTTCTCTGTTCAAGACTAGAAAGCTTCAGTTCTCTTAACCTAGCCAATGTAGGCACGCAAATACATTACCTCTGGCCTTTACGGCAGGGATTGGGAAAGCACGGATCACTGTCACGACAGGTGCCGAACTCAAACTGATTGTCTTTCAGGCCCATACAGCGAGCCACGCAGGCACTGGGGTAGGTGCGTCCATTCTTGGCACATACAGGCACAAACTGGTCAGCACAGCCACATGGCAGACCTAAAACACAAAAACCTTTCCTTTCAATGGGAATTTATAGCAGCTCATTGGTTAGAGCCTTTTTAGAAGACTTTCACAACTTCCCAGATGAACTGCACTCTCACTGTGTGGTTTACTTTACAATAGCTGAAAGCTAAGAGACGACTTGTGGAAACCTGATTACAAAGGTCAACTGAAATGTATGTGTAAAGACACAAAGTTCCTGAAGAGGAAATGGGCTACAGAAATATAAAGGCAAAAAGACCCCTACTACAGATGGCGTAACTGCTCATTAACACTGAGACATGTATATATATTTACAGTCCTCAGAAAAAAAAATCTATCACTAGTTATGGAAAATGTTTTGTGAATATTGAGCCGTACAAATTAATAGAATACTGCATTTATTAAAAGAACAGCTGTCACTCAAGCCTCTACAGCAAGAGTTTATTGTTTTGTTCCCAAAGGATAGCTCAGGCCCAGTTCTGAGGTATGCCAATGCTTTCCTGTTCTGTACCAGTAAAGCGGCGCCTGTCCTCTTCAGAGCTCTGTTTGCTCAGGCACTGGCGGGTGGAGCAGACGATCTCTCCAGCAAAGCAGGAGCAGGTGTGGCAGTCCACTTTGAAGGATGTCCCATGGCCTAGGAAGAACACAAGGATCAGCCCTCGTAAAACAGTTTCCTAAAGTCTTGTTCATTGTCCCTACAGGACAGTCTTGTTCACTGTCACTGTTACCTACAGGTCAGTCTTGTTCACAGTTACCTACAGGATAGGTTTGTTGCATTCCCTGTGTCAGATCCTAACAGAATATCATTTACAACTCCTGTTAATGCATTTTCAGTGCTGTGGCCTGGGCGGAAACCAGATTGGAATTTCTCATATATTGTAGTATAATATATACTATACTTATAATAGTATATTACATTAATCCACATAAGACTGAAGTTTGGCCGCAACTATGCTCTCAAGAATTTTAGATAAAAATGGAACATTTGAAATAGGTCTGTAGTAGTTGAGAGCTTGTGGATCCAAATTTGGTTTCTTAAGCAGCGGTCTAATAACCGCTACCTTAAATTGGTCAGGTACAACGCCTGATGCAAGGAACGTGTTCATCATACTAATTATAGGTCCCGCCAATACTTTGAGGGAATCTTTGACTAACTGAGTGGGGATGGGATCTAGAGGACAGGTGGTTGATTTTGTCTTAATTAATTTCTTTAGTTCATGTTCATTAACTAATTAAACTAAAAAGCCTCATATGATTGGCGAGACTCTCATTCGCTCAGCAGCATTGACTATTTGTCAAACTATGAACGGGTGTGACGAGGGTGTTTGCATTGTTTTCTCTATGGGTTTTGGGTTGGGGGACACAAGTTCAAACTTAGACAAGCTGGGGGGAGCGCATTTCAAAAATGGTTGAGAACCCCTGACCTACAGGACAGTCTTGTTCACAGTCATCTACATGACAGGCATGTTCACTGTCATTGTCACCTACAGGACAGGCCTGTTCACTGCCACTGTTGTCTACAAGACAGCCTTGTTCACTGTCACAGTCACCTACAGGACAGTCTAATTCACTGTCTCCTACGGGACAGGCTTATTCACTGTCACCTACAGGACAGCCTTGTTCACAGTCACCTACAGGACAGCCTTGTTCACAGTCACCTACAGGACAGCCTTGTTCACAGTCACCTA